CACTTCATCTAGAGCACCTATGCTGGTTCCTGTTTCATTCACGGAAGCCGACTGGGATGTCATGGGGTGGCCTGAGCTATCTCATCGATTTGTGAGTAATGATGAAGTCTGTTACACTCCTCCACCGCAAACGGCGACAGCAGCGAAAAGCACAGTTGCCTATGAGGGTGAAAAGGGGGAAGTTGTACGTTTTGCAGTTAAGCGGTTCAATCTGAAAATAGACCTATAGGTATTAATCAAGTGAAGTTGTTTAGATTAACCTATTACAAATGATAGGTCCAACAAGGGTTACGATATCAAGTGCAAATGACTCTCGGGAAGACTAATTGCACACCGGACAGTGAAGTGTTAAAAAACCTGCAAGTACTCTCATACCAAATACAGCATCTATTCGATTGGAGAAGGGCGTACAGGGCATCCCCTGGGCAAATGATTTTAAAGTCACACATTCGACTTGGAGTAGACATAATTGTAGTAAACCTCTAATCCCAACCAGACCTCTGAGTAGAGATTGTACCAAACCAGCACCTCACATTCCGGTCCATCCCTTAACCAACGTCAGCCGTTGTGTTAACTTCTATGCTCTGGATGAATTTCATCTAGGTACGAGTGACTGTAGTAATGATATTATCAGCTTCACCACTGAATCCAAAGATCTCGCATTACCGGAACAGGTGTATTTAATTTGTGGCAACATCGCTTATAGCTGTGTTCCAGTCATAGGGAACCTTCATAAAAAGTCAGATACTGGGAAATGCTATTCAGCATACCTTGTACCCCTAATTAGACAGGCTGACTCCAAGGAACTTGCTCCGTTCCATGTACGTCATAAACGCGCCATTTCACTAGGTTCAAGGATTTTGAGCATACTAATACCATCGTATGGCACCTACAGGAGCCAGGAGGAAATAATGGCGCACTCAACAGTACTGGAAAGACACATGAATAAGACTTTAATAGCACTTTCCGAAATGCAAAAGGGAGTAAATTAAAAAGGAGCTGCATGAAGACCACGGATGGAATCCTTTTGGGGAAATGCAGGCATGGGTTGGATCGTGGGGAACTTCTCTCTTTAAAGGACTGCTATGGGTGTTGGGGGGCATCATTCTGTCTGTAATTATTATAACCCTAATTGTAACTGTTTTAAAGCTCTTTGTAAGGAAGGTTGTCAGTACTTATGTATCAGTTGAACACATGAGTATTACTACACAGCGTCCAGTTCAGAAATGGACTCCACCATATCCGGATAGCTCTGACAGTGATGATGAATGTGAGGATTGTGTGTAACTAAACAATATATGCGTGTTAGTGGTAGCAAGGGTTCACGTGCACTTAGAAGTTAATGATGTGGTGTTCTGAATATTCGTGAATTTACACCACTGATGTATGTTCTAAGAGTTGTTATGTTTACTATTCCTTTCTTGATTTTGAATTGATTGTTTAACGTTTTTCTGATTTCTTAGTTGTCAAAAAATGACAAAAAGAGAGGGATGTCGGGGGAGAATTTGTTGAGGTGCATGTGGTGACTACAATCCGGTAGAGTCACGTGAGGCTAAGTACGGGAGATTGGTGTGTGGACTCGTTCCAAACAGACGCTGATTCCTCCTGTGAAGGTGATTGATTTTATTGTCCGAAAGTCAAGTTAAAAAACATCCAAGCAGGCGAAGCGATACATGCTGTGCGACGATGCAATAAAGTGCGCTGTAGGATACGGTCAACAAAAAGTATCGTCTCCCGACTCACCCCCATGTCCATACAACCATCACTCCGCCTAGATGCCTACACTCATTCATAAACCACTGCACACCTGCCCACGTGATTCTGATGCTAATTACATTTCAAAATAAAAGTACCAACACTCACACACAGGAAGTGGCAGACGGCCGCTACAGTGCATATTGTGAGAGTCTCAAGAACTCGTATGTGACCTTTCTTGGGAAACTCGTGACCTGACCTAGTCTACGATGAAATCCATATGTGGCTTGGACAGATCATATCATGTTCTTCTATTTACATTTCTCCTCTGTTTTCCTGTCTGTCAAAATGATTGACTTGGTCCACTAAGAGAGGGTCGTGGAGGTTCCCGAAACAACATCTGGTACCATTCCTCGAACCTGATGTATAAAAGCTCCTGGTTCCCCATAGAAACTTTGTCAGATCTTCCTGCTCCTTTTGGGAGAAGGAACTTTCTGCCCCTTTCCAGCTGAATTGTAGTCATTCGACTTCTGTCTGTGCTTACGACTTGTGCTAATGATTTCTGTATTCTTTATCATTTTTCTATATTCTAGTTAGTAATAAATACTTAATCACAAAGCAAGCTCAAGATACTTTTGATTTCTCACATGGGATAAATCCACAAATTTCCACCACAAAGTCCACAAACAGGATCCTGGCGTAGGTTCCTGGGGAGTCCAGATGCTGGAGGATGTAGTGGAGGGCCATGTTGAAAGTTTCGTCCACAGACCTGTTGGCTCTGTAGGCGAACTGCAGGGGGTCCAGGAGGGGGTCGGTGAGGGACTTCAGGTGGGTCAGGACTAGCCGTTCAAAAGACTTCATGACTACAGAGGTCAGGGCGACGGGCCTGTAGTCATTGAGTCCTGTGATCCTGGGCTTCTTGGGAACAGGGATGATGGTGGAGGCCTTGAAGCAGGCTGGTACGTGGCATGTCTCCAGGGAGGTGTTGAAGATGTCAGTGAACACCGGAGACAGCTGGTCAGCACAATGCTTCAGGGAGTGAGGGGAAACGGAGTCCGGACCGGCTGCCTTACAGGGATTTTGTCTTTTAAAGAGCCGGTTAACGTCTCTCTCCAGAATAGAGAGGGTCGTTGCTGGTGGGGGAGGGGAAGGTGATAATGATGAAGAGGCGTGAGCACCTGATGGGCTGGGGGAGGGAGGGGAGGGGAACTGCATTAACCATAATAAAAATCAATGGATACCATCTGACACACAACACACACACAAACTGTTCAGATTAACTGTCAAATTGCACAGAACTAACAGTTGGTTTCATTTTCTTGCTAGAAAGGTAGACCATCTTCACCAGCTAAATTCATATACAAACTTCCATCTGTCTTTGGAAGAAGCTCTGCTTGTCTGTGGAACTGTAGCCAACCTATAAAAAACAATTTTCATTTTAGAAAGTCATTACAACAAACTCGTGAACATGTTTATAGGAACTGAATGGGGTGTGGCCTATGCGTTTTATTTGCATCAACTTGTAACCAGGGCACATACGTGTTGTTTTGAAAACAACACAGAGACGTGTAACTCACAAGGAGCTTCCTCGGGCTCTGGATGAGGCTGCATGCATACAGGGGGGGAGTCTGCGAACCTAACAACCATCACCTGCAGTAAGCTGATGAGGTCACATTCGCCCTGACAGGAGAAAGTAGATCACACATGAACATGTAAAGCTCTGAGGCGCTGCGTTCCGTACACGTCAGGGCCATTGTCTGTGTCTCGTTACAGACAGACGAGGGAAAGAGCACGAGATATCATTTAAATTCTCACTTTCTTCCAGTCCTCCAGGTAAGGCAGCATGACTTCACCATTGCTGGAGATGTACTTTCCACTGAGGACCATCATGTCACTAGTGGGTGTGACATAGCAGATGGGAGCAGTTTGAGGGTAGCTTGCCTCAATCCAAAGGCATACAGGAATGTTGTAGGTCTCGTCTTGTATGTATGAACAGAGAAAATGGTGATTTCTCTATATATTCTATAGATATTATAAATACATTTATTTTTTTATAATGAACTGTTTACAGAATACACATCAGTCGGCATTTGATTCAATCGTAAAAAACGCAAAGTCATTGTTACCTTCAAACAGGACAGGAATGGTTGCGTTTAGACTCATCAAGTTTTTTGTGGTTCCGTCGTTGTAAACTGAAAGAAATAGACGACTGACGGTGGTATCTAAAGCTTGTTGTTTAATTTTTCTCTGGTCGAACGGTAAGGAAGATATTGTTAGCTGTTATTTCACTTCTTACCATATCTGCCCATCATGGGCACAAGGCTTTGGAAGTGGACCACTGCAACATACATGTCATGGGCCACGTGTTTGCGGCGATATTTCTTCAACACAAAAAAAAAACACTGAACAGAATACACATGGATTCTATTCATACAACTTGATTGATTTTGGGAATACAAATTATTGGTCCAATTATTGATAATTATTCTTACCGTAGGGAGCATTTTCCTAATCGCATTCTCAAAGTACGGCATGATTACGCTTAAACCGAAATGAAAATGTACTTTCCGTGTATCTTTTCGATCACCAATTCCAGTTGTGTGGTTCTCGGGTTTATGGGTAACCGCCCAGCTTTTATGACACTTGAAAGCCAGTGAAAAGAACAAACTCACGAATATGCAAATCACCTGCCATGAAAAGCCATAGCAAGGCAGTCACTCAATAAACATTAAAAAGGATTATTAATAATCATTGTGATTGAGACTGCAGTGATTGGTTGTTGTCAGTGAAACTGTATTGTTTTGCATCAGGATCAAGGAAGTCAAGCTGATTTTACCCCCTTCTCTTATATAACAAAGTTTGCCTGTGAAGGGATCATTACCGTAGCTTATTGGGTACTTCGTTAACTTTTATTAAATAAATAAAAGCTCTGCCCTGTTTACCTGTGGGACCTAAAACTTTTGTACAAATGGTCCAGCTGATTGCAAAACTCCTGTGTAAACACATTTTAAGACAGTACTTTGAGCATTGATCCCAGCTGGGCCCCATAAAGTAAACCACACAGTATCACATTGTGATCCTCCCATTCAAACAGAGATTATTCAGTACTGTAAAAAGTATTTGCCAAGAACACGTACATATTTGAGCTGAGTTCAACCACACAACATTAATAATAATAATAATCTTAACAATTTAATGTAACTAATGTAACTTTTTTTTTGAAACTCTCAAATATGATGCATAAAGAAACCTGCAGATGGCAGCAAATCTTACATTTGAGAGTAACCTCATTGACCAAAGACCGGTTTCCTCTTGACATCTTTATTCCTGTCGCCGCAATACATTTGCCACATTTTCAAAGAGTAAATACATCTTAAATAGCTAAAACAGTTGTTATTCCTTCCACACCTCCAACGACAGTTTGCGAGGACGAAACAAAGCCCTTGAGCCACTTTGTCCTTGTGCAAAGGTCCCTCCGGTCCGTGCGGTCTCCGTCATGCTCTCTAGGTCTTCTGACTGGTGCACGCATTGTCTGCTGGCTGGAGAATGCCTGTTGCAATATGATGAAGACGGCTAATGAAACAGGGATTTGAATACAAAGATTTATGGAAATCTATGTGTTATCGTGAATGAACGTTTTTTCTTTATGATTGACAGGGAGATGACAAGCATACTATTATGACTGTAATTACATGTTACAAACGCCACACCCTTTTTTTTTTAATATATGAGCACAATGGGTGAAAAATAAAAGGTTAGAAACAACACAGCCAAAAGTGTGACCAAGGATCCACTCCTGCATTATTATGCTATTGTAAGTTAATCAAACAGGCTTCTTTCAAACACACCTAAACACACATTCACAGTTCATATCCTTCCTCCCAGCAGAGACATGAACACACTGAAAATACTCTACAACATCCACACTAACAAGACTGACCATATTTCTTTAAGCCATGTTATGAGGGAACTTTAACTGTACAAAATCGTTTAGGTGAGAAAAACTTTTGTTTTGTTTCGGCGACAGGAGACGAAGGCAAAATAACAGGTTACGTCTTTTGTGGAGGAAGCGTGGGATTTCTCTGTGGTCTGTCGCTAAAAACCTGCTTGTAGTGCCTGGAACTCTAAACATAATCATACGTGACGTATAACCGTGACTTAAAAGTAACACATGTTCCAATGTTTTGAGCAAGACAACTTGGCATATACTGGGCTATTAACTGGGTTGGCTTTCAGTCACAGACTCACATTCAAACGCACATGCTATTACAGACCCCCCACTCTAAAATCAGTGTAGTGTTTTAAGGGACTTGCCTTTCCTTTAAAATTCTATACAGCGCATAACGCGCTAAACCCTAACCCACTTCAATATTTTCTTCTTTTTTTTTCACACGTAATCAAACAAACAGAACAATGCAGCCAGCAGAACACATTCGTCTCAGGTAGATCTCGCTGCAGACACGAGGTACAAACCAGCTAAGATGTAAAGGTCCATTTATAAGTAAACCCAGAGCAGTCTTTTCCCACGTAGGCGGCAAATTAATGCAGTTCTCGGGAGCACAATAGTATGAATTTAACAGAGCGACGCACTCCCACAACCCAATATCCATCACCTATTACACGCAATAGTCCCGCACTTACAGTAAATATGATTCTGACATGAGTAGCACCTGAACTACTATTGTTCCATCGCAGAACTGAGGAGGCAGAGAAAGGAGGAGTGGTTTGAGGATAGAACAGTCCGAGGGGGGAAAAAAACTGCATAAGTGTAAGTCTGAGGCAGGACCGTGTGCGTTAAAACTCTATTTGGTGACATTGTGAACTCGGGTTTCCAGGACGGTTGAATGGTGACGCTTTCTTGCACTCTGGATTCCTGAGCCTTGTCATCCACTAGGACGGATTCTTGCCATCTAAAAATAGCCGTTATCACCATGTAGTAAATACGAGTTGGACAGCAACTGAAATGCAAGAAAAGTCTCCTGGTTGTCATTTCGTGTAAAACTGTAAGCGGTCGTTGTGTGACTGTGCAGGGGGTTTCTCCTATTTCCACATGCAACCCTCAACAGATATAAACCCACCCGAACCAAAGTATCCACAGTAAATAATCCTATTGCACCAGAACTTACGTACATTAGTGATTACTATTACAGAAAGACAATGTTTGCTGTAGCAAAGAAAACATTTGAAAGAAAAGAAGGCAGCTGCATTCTGGGAATTCATCCATCTTTATATTAAGAAATTCCAACTACGTGTCACGCCCAGTCCCCTCACTCACATATTGCTCTGTGGCTTTCAGTTTCTGCGATCACAAACAAAACTTGTCATATCCCAAAAAAACAAACTCTAGGCCTTTGTACAACCGGTCAAACAACAAAGTATAGTCATTTCCATGTCAGCCTCCAACCCATATCCAGCACAATCGGCACAACCGATATGCTCCACGCAGCCATTAGGGGGGGAACCCAATAGGCAGGTGGAGGGCGATGGGGGGACAAGGGGAGGGGCATCCATGTTCTAGTCCTTTCTATTGTAGTCAGTCGGTCCTTCCAGTGGGCAGGCGGCAGCGGGGAATGGAGGGGGTGGGGGGGTTAGGCTTTCAAGGTGGAAGGAGGTCAGAGACACCCCCTTTAAGACCAGTGTTGAGACTGAAAACAAATAAGTTAGCAGGAAACTTGTGGAACCATCCAGGGAGACCACGCCGGAGTGGACAAAGAGTCATTAGTGGCGTCGCTCTCAGGGCGACATGTGGAATAAAGGAGGGACCGGACCCGCTTAGATAGCCATAAAAGGCAACGGTCCAAATCCTCCTTTCCATGAAGGGCCACGGTTCAGTCGGGTCTGGTGGTTCCCTTGAGAGCTTTTGCTGCAATCCTCCTCTTTTTTGAAAAAGTTTATATTTCATCATTGCATTGTTTTAACTTTCTATCAGTAAGTCCATGCTGCCACTACGCGCAGTAGCATTTCTCCTCAACATGCAACAGTCCGCTGTGGACAGAGAGGAGACAAAAAAGGGATGCGGATATTAGTGGCATCTTGGTGGCGTTTTGGGGAAGACAGTTACACAGTGAAAAGTGAAACTGAGGTTTCAAAACTATTTTTGGTCACAATGAGAAGTCAAACTGGACTTCCCATATTGCGTGACAACCTTAAAAAAAAGATATGTCTCACCTGCATCACGAGACCACACATCGACAGCTCATACAGTCCTGACCGCTCTCATCGGGTGGGTTCAGCTTCCTCAGCTTATGCTGTCTGATCTCTCTGACCAGTGTGTAGAAGGCGTCCTCTACTCCCTGTAAACACACAGCAAAAGGTTGCACGGACATCTGGACACAGGCAATGGTCAATTTTAAGTTTGAGCACACGGCATAAACCCCTTGTGAATAGACCTTGAACCTCTCAGGTGTCTTCAGCATTGAGAGGCCTGGTGACATCGCCATGACAACATGGACATTTCAGACGCCGTTAATCAAAAGAAATCATTGAGACTGAAAAAAAGTCAGTCGGTTTTTAACACGCTCTTCCGGTTAAATGATGAATGCGAGAGACTGCATGTTCCCCCATAGTGTGTGACAGTGAGTCAGAGACAGTGGGAGCTGTGCAGCGACGCGTCTTTATGCAGCCTTTCAAATACTGGTGCTCCGCTCTCAAGCCAAGGCAACCTGGCTACGAGTCACCGCATGCGTCATCATAAAGCGTTTCCAGCAGCGCAAATGGCATAATACTGCGGATCATTCACTAGATCCCATACATAGGACAGGCAGAGTTCAAATTTACAAATTTGATAGACCCCTGAATACCCCTCTGACTACTCCTCCCTTTAAAAGATTACAGCAGGGTTGTGAAGATTGACTTTTTATGTGATATTTTTATAGATATCTGTGACTACTTAGATGACTTATCTGACAAAGGTTTTGAACAAGGAGAACAAGAATCAAGGAAGTAGGATTTTGGTGGCTGGTGACAAAAAAAAGAAAGAAAAGAATCTTAAAAACAAAACAATCAGTGAACCATGTGTCTCTTAGGCAGGTATTGTGGGCGTGTGCTTCTTGCTCATGACCTACCTGTCGGGTTTTGGCAGAGGTCTCGATGTAAGGGATGCCATAAGACCGGGCGAGTTCCTGGGCTTGCCTCGTGTCCACCGTGCGTGCCGGGAGGTCGCATTTGTTTCCCACGAGCACCATGGGAACATCGTCAGAGTCTTTCACGCGTTTGATCTGTTCTCTGTGAATTGCACAACAATAGAAATTCCACAGTTGGGATTTATTTGGAAAAATTTTGCAGTACGTGACGCTGGGGAAACATGTCTCAAGGCTGCGTTCTCCCCCCTCTGCTCGTGTCTTTGTACACCAACAGCTGCCACCAGTCCGTCAAGCTCCTGAAGTTTGCGGATGACACCACCCTCATTGGACTGATCTCTGGTGGGGATGAGTCCGCCTACAGGTGGGAGTCTGACCATCTGGTGTCGTGGTGCAGCCAGAACAACCTGGAGCTCAACGCTCTAAAGACAGTGGAGATGGTTGTGGATTTCAGGAAGTCCCACCCTCCCCCATCACCCTTTGTGACTCCCGTCACCGCTGTGGACTCTTTCTGTTTCCTGGGCTCCATCATCACCCAGGACCTCAAGTGGGAGCTGAACATCAGCATTTCATATTTATGTATTTATTGCCTCATTGATTTATTTCATGATGTATTTCAAATGCATATTTCATGTATTTATTCATTTATTTAATTTGGACTAAAACGGCATTCCATAGTTCTTGCACTATGTTGTCGTATCTGTCTTGTTGTCTATTGTCTTACTGTCTGATGTTATACACCAAAAGTCCAGTTTCATATTTATGTATTATGTATTTATTGCCTCATTGATTTATTTCATGATGTATTTCAAATGCATATTTCATGTATTTATTCATTTATTTAATTTGGACTAAAACGGCATTCCATAGTTCTTGCACTATGTTGTCGTATCTGTCTTGTTGTCTATTGTCTTACTGTCTGATGTTATACACCAAAAGTCCAGTTCCTTGTATGTCTGGGTAATAAATGTTCCTGATTATCCCTAATCCGTGCACTGCAGTTGAGGTAAAACCACCCAGAGAGTTCTAGGACCCTGAGGAGCAGCCAGAGCCCGCCGATGGTACTTTGCTGTGCTGCACTGCTGAAGGGGGGAGGGAGGGAGAGGGATTGACAACGAGCGTACACCATTACCTCATCACCACAGCAGCCAGCACCAAACGGCCAGCAGCCAGGAGGGAACTGACTGAGAGGGTCAGATCAATCTATCAGGCTGGCCCTTTTTCGCCCTGAGCCACAGTGCAGCAGGATGCATCCACTGCAGCGGCCCTGCAGTCAACACTGCCAACGGTGTTCAGCAGAGGCAGCTATTTCTAAATCTAACTAAATGACAGCAAACACCAACATATTTTATATTCTGTGTTGACTGATTTGTAATAAATAAATAAAAAATCCAGTGTGGTGTCAGCAGCAGAGCAGAGGTCTGGTAGAAACGCCTTGAACGGTAAAATACACCACAGATAATAAAATAAGACAGCTCTAACGGGACTATTCTAGCATCGGACAAAAGATCCATTTTTCAAGTTACACAATGAGTACAGTGAGGCTCAAAAAGGCTGGACCACGATGGCTGCAGGTAAAAAAAGAAAACCGTGTGCGTCTGTGTGTTTAGGAAAGTCCCAAAAAGACAAACAACCTGCAAACCTGGAGAAGAGGTGGCAAAGTTAACGCGCAGCCAAGTGGGTGGCTAATGTGATGAGAAAGACAAAATGTGGCAAAAATAGAGAACACTGTCATCTACAGCTAAGTCCTCCTCCCTGCCCCCCCCACCCGTTCTCCTTCCCCGTCCTTGATAGTGCTACCTCTCTCCGCTCCCCTAATTGAGTCAGCATCGATTTCATTGGTATCGTGCTGTAATCTTCCAGTTGGGGGCTTAGCTTTCTTCAGCCGAGTTAAACGCTCCAGCATGACATCACCAAACCACTGCAGCGAGCTGGCAACACGTACGTATACACACACCCCTCTCTGTCCGGGGGGCCGTATGGGAGTCCCCCGCAACACACGCGGAACATACAAATACACAGAAGCGTAGAAGAGAAGTAAACAGCAATCACTTGGATTCGGTCGTCCGCCCCAACGATGCTCCGTGTCATTGACACAGTTTCGGGGTTCCCCTGCGCACCACGGTGGTGCGCGGCCTCACTGCTATACACACACCTGTACTGGTGAATGTCCTGAAATGACTTGGTGTTGTTGATGGCGAAGACGCAGAGGAAACCCTCCCCTGTCCGCATGTACTGATCCCTCATGGCGCTGTACTCCTCCTGACCGGCAGTGTCCAGGATGTCCAGCAGGCAGGTCTCCCCGTCAATCACCACCTGCTTCCTGTACGAGTCCTGCGGGCAAAAGGGGGAGAGGGTCAGAATACGGGAAAGCTGCTACAAATCTACGGGTGAACAATCTGTAAGGAACGCCGGTGGAATTTGAAGGGGTCACAAAGGTGGTTGCATCCTTCGCCACCGAGGGCTGAGCAGCATGTCCATAAATAGAACGCACAGAGATGTGATGTTGATGGGATGTGCACCACCTGGAATCTGTTATCAATTCCCAGTCTGCACCCGGGCTTAAATGCACAGATAAGAGCTCAGAGGAGCTGGGGGATCGGAGCCAATGTTTAGCCTTTAGACACGCAGCCACTAAAACATGGGAGGGCTGTCCCTTTGTTTGTTAGAGCACAGGGGCCAGGAATGCCAACGCACAAAAAGGACATTGTCTGACCACAGGCAGGCGTGGTGAGAAAGAGAGGGATGGAGTGAAGGAAGAAGAGAGGAGAAAACATTCTCACTGGCTTGCCTCTCCTCTTGTGTGTTGTTTTCACGCAAATATAAGAATTACAAATGGGCACACCACATATTTCTTGTAAAAACTGACAGACATTTGCTTATGACTTCCCCTTGAAAAAGTCTGGAATCAAATATCTGTATAACGGCCCCCCCACCCCTCTCTCCCAGTGGAGAGAGCACCAGCAGACACACTACCACAATATAATTAACCATTGTTTACCTTCCTACCCCAACACGTCTCCGATGAGAATAATGTGTAGAACATGCAGAAGGGGGTCATACCTCTATGGTCGGGTCATATTCATCCACAAAGTGGTTCTGGATGAGCTGGATGGTGAGTGCACTCTTGCCCACGCCTCCAGCCCCCACCACCACCAGCTTATACTCCGTCATCTTTGCCGCTGCTGCTCAACGCACCAACACCACTGCTGGAGGGAAGAAAGGGAGGGAGAACGGTGCAGGTTATCATGGGTAAGAAGCATACACAGTACCGGCTCAGTGCAGAACAGTGTTCATTTTGGCAGCTATTTTTGATTTAGTCATTTAAAATGTAATTAGTTTTAGTCACATTTAATAGCCATATTAAACTCCCTTTCTTCCCTTCTCAGGCCCAGGGACCCCCTGCGTTGTATCTACAACTGCATAATAGTCTAGCTTGCAGTACTTGGTTGTCCATTAGATGTCCCTCCTAGGACAGGTCTATAGCAGGGGTCGGCAAACTTTTTGACTCGCGGCCACAATGGGTTGTAAAATGTGACCAAGAACAAATGGTTGAAGTGTTTGTGTGAGCTAATATAAATGACACGTGAAAAATCATTACATGAAAGGATTGGGATTTTAACAAATAGCAAAGCATTTATTTGCAAGGCAATTTAACAAATTGGCAACGGTGTAACAACTTCATGAGGACCAGGGACATAAACGCAACACTTTGTTGTCTTTGTCTGTTTACTTACAATGCTTTTGACGTGGCCACCGGAAACTTCATTGTCCTTTATTGTTTCCACTGTCCCAACAAAAGAGACCTTAACGTCCTACAATCGCTGCAATACATTATTTTCTTGGCTTCAGAACCTGCAATGAGTTTATTACGTTAGACGCGTTTGTAACGGAGCGTCTCATCCACCGAGGAAACGCTGCCTGCCGTCGCCAGAGAACAGAGCAGAAAGGTCCGACGGTCTTTAAACGGGTCTTCATGTTTCTGTGAAGCAGCGCGGCTTCAGCCCGCTAACAGGCAGCTAACAGTCAGCTAACAGTCAGCTAACAGGCAGCTAAACAGACAGCTGAGACAGCTGAGCTAAACTAACGAAGCCACATTCAAACTCGCCGAAGCGTAAAATAGTCGTCGCGGTCCGTAGTCGGTGCACAAGAACCACCGCTGCACCGATACGCGCGTTCTGGGTTCGTGGATGACGTCATCATGACGCGTTAGTAAACCGGAGAGATAGCGAGATCCTCCTTGTGGCACTGGCACGCAGTGGCACAACTCGCGTCAAGTAAGGGGCGGGCGTCTCAACGCCACCCCGAGTGGGCGGAGCCAGGCTTTCCCGGAAACGGCCGTTGTTTGTGCGACAGGTTAGCTGCCGTAAAGATGTTTTTTGTAGTTCTTTTTATTTTATTTCATGTTTTTTGTATTTATTTTATTGTTGGAATGCATTAAGCATTCCAAGTATTGTTCTTTGAATCTTCTATTTCTTCATCTTCTATTTCTTCCGCGCCCCCTTTCAACTCCTTCACATTTTCAGCTATTAAAATCCTCCAAATATTAAAATGTTCAGCTCCTTTCTGGCTTGAGGGCTATGACTTTTCAGCTTTCTACCTCTTAAGCTTGAATTTATATAAATCAATAATCATTAATTTTTAACATGGTTTTCAAATGGAGATTGTTTTCAAATCCTCCTTAAACTTCTTCAACTTTCAGATTTTTCAGCTTCGCAAATCTTTCAGCTACAGACACCATTTGAACTTTCAAATGTTGACACAAGTCTCAACTATTTTATGAAAAAAACTGCTTCTTGATATCTATTGTACTTTTTTCATAATCACTGATTATGTTTCACTAGTTCTTCGCTCCGTTTCTGACTTTTACATGAGTGTGTATTGCGTCTGCTAGAGTGGGGACCTTGAGGGCTAGAGTGTGAGGCAGCGCCAGAATCTGGTTAAAAAAATATGGAACTTCTGTCCTTGCAGCCAAAGTATACACTCTAGAGGCTTCATTTCTTCAGATTAATGAGGGCATGGTTGTGCTGATTGGATTAATGTGTTCATAGAATCCCAGAGTTCTTTAGTTTTGGCCTATGGAGACCAACAGTCACACAACCTCTGCTAAAAGCCCCATAGCCTCCAATACAAATCTGCCGACATATTTCTCAAAAAATCAAGAAGGTACACGTTTTGTAAACTTCGTCAGGAGCCGTATTTTTTACCGGACAGACATAAATGACACCTCCCTGCGTTCGGTAGAGTCTTGGGTCTCGCACAAACAGCGTATTTTTTAGATAGCTATTATAGTTTTGCGCTGGTTGTCATTTGTTTGAGGTGTGGTTTCTTGGTAAAATCCGTTTACTCTGTGATCAGCCCGCGAAAACAGCAGCTGCGCCGTCTCCATGACGACCACACAGGCTCGTGCCAGCATTCACTCTCCCTCCCCTACGGAGTCTGACAGACACATAGACCTACGTGGGGAGAACATGGCGCTAGCAAACGCGGCGCTAGCTGGTAGTGAGCCGGCTCTTTGACGTGAACGCCTGGAGCCGGCTCCTGATTGGGGAGCCGCTTTGTTTTTGTGAAATGTAAAAAAAGAAAGTTAAGAAAATGAGTGTCAACAGGAAACCCAGCAAAATCTGGACACATTTCAATTACATTGACCTAAGGCAGAATGTAGAGTCTGCAAGACTAAAATCTCCGCACCCCACCCCAATCGAGCTGGCTCCACAAACAACCTGCACAGGCACATGAGAACTGTCCATCCTTTAGTGCAATTGGAAGACAAAAGACAAGAAAGTGAACCTGATAGTACAGCTTATGTTATTTCTGTATTATTTTAAATTCATTTAAGCTCCTGCAACTTCTGTATTTTTTAGAAAATCTGTTGAAATTCAGCTTCCCCACTTCCTGTATTTTCAGCAATTCTTTAAAATAATTTCAGCTTTTCTCATGGTTCTATTAACAGCAATGTTTTAATATTAATTTCTGTATTCTGTGATGAGGCTTATTCATTAAAAACGTCTTAGTTTGAATAACAGAGATTCTGTCTCCCAACCCCCTCTCACCCGATTCCATCATTACAAAATAAAAGCCTCAATGATTATCTGTACCTTAACCATGAAGCGGTTTCATTGAAATACATATTGCTCTTTCAAATACTACTACACTACAACCACTAAGCGTGTTACTAGTATTTCTAGTAGTACTACAACTGATACTTCTACTACCATACTACTAGTACTTCTACTGCTATTAATACTACAACTACTATTAATGTTATTACAAATACTACTATGGCTATTAGTATTACAGCTGGTTCTACTGCTATTGATACTAAACCTACTTCTACAGCTAGTACTACTAATACCACAATTACAATAATAACTAATACTACTACTAATATTACTACAAACTATTTTAAACCTATTTTTAGTCATCTCACCTTTTGTTATTTCTGTATTTTTTTAATTCATTGAAGCTCCTGTAACTTCTGTATTTTTTAGAAAATCTATTGAAAATCAGCTTCCCCACTTCCTGTATTTTCAGCAGTTTTTAAAAATAATTTCTGCTTTTCCTATGCCTCTATTAACAGCAATGTTTTAATATTCATTTCTGTTGTTTTTTTTGCACGATTTCACATTTATTTCAGCTGTTTTCACTTTTTCAGCTGTTTTCGCTTTTTCAGCAAATCTATTGAAATTCCTTTCAGCTTCTCCCATTTCTGTATTTTCAGCAATTTCAAATTAATTTCAGCTTTTCTAATATCTGTCATTTCAGCAAATGTATTCAAATTCCCTTCAACTTTCTGTATTTTCAGCTATTTAAAAAAATTCAGTTCAGCTTTTTGCATTCCAACGCATTTTCAGCAGGAAATGCTTTTTCTAGTTTTATTTGATACACTACATATTTCCCACCTCTATCTCAAGTCCGACATATTCCGCTGGGGGGGTTGGGGAGGGGGGCGCAGACGGGGGTGTTCCGCGGGGGGGATCGGCGGTGTGTAATTCAGTGGCACTCAGTGGCCACAGTGGCACATCAGTGGCCACTCTGGCAATTCATTGGCAACCTGTTAGTCCTCAAAGCGCCACTCGATCCGAGAGGCTGCCGAGCTGTTTCTTGTTTTTTATTTACTTGAGTGGGGTTTTGTTTTTCAATTTATTGGGTTTGTTGAGCATGTTGTTTTGTTATTCTAGGACTTGCACTTCTTTTTCCTATTGCCACTTGTCAGATGATATCCAAGCTGCCACAATAATACCTCTAGATGTTAGAATTTATTCCAAAAATACTCTTTTTAAGGTTATTTTATTCTGTTATGTTTTCAATGAAAAGTGCTATTGGAACAAAAATTCAGTTACACATGAAAGCATTAATATTTGCCTAATCAATAGAGCTGAAGTTGTCATAAGTGGGACCATTAGAAGAATTAAATGAGACGCAGAGACTATTTAACAATAAATAATATAAACATGTAAAAACAACATGAAAATACATTTTAAAAATGAACTAGTCCCACTCTTTGAACAAAGCATCGACTTTGTAGCCCTTGTCAATAAACTCTCCCACAAACATTTTGTATTCATCTCTGTACTGAAATTCAAGGACAAAGACATTTATCGGTGCGTCTGCGTCAGAGTGGCCACTGAATTTACAAACCCCCCCCCGACCGAGAACCCCGCACGGAAGAGGTGGGGAATATTTAGTGTATCAAATAAAATAAAATAAATACAAAAAACATGAAATAAAATAAATAGAACTACAAAAAACATCTTTACAGCAGCTAACCTGTCGCACAAAAAACGGCCGTTTCCGGGAAAGCCTGGCTCCGCCCACTCGGGATGGCGTTGCCACTCACTTGCCGCGAGTTGTGCCACTGAGTGCCACGAGTTGTGCCCTGCTGGATAACGCCGTACTTTGCCTGTCTGTTGTCTGTCAGCTGCGGGCGAATTTAGGGGGAAAAAGTATTGTGACTTCGTCAACCACCAACAGGTTCGTCTCGTCTCGTCTCGTTAACGAAAGTTAGAATAGATTTAGTCATAGTTTTTATTTTTTAAGATCGTTTTCGTCACATCTTAGTCTCGTCTTAGTCATGGAAAAAAGGTTCGTTAACGAAACATTTTCATCATAGTTTTCGTCGACGAAATTAACACTGGGGCAGAACAACGGACATACGCAGTCTGGCTCTCTCTACCATTGGACTGCTGCCACGGAGGCCACAAACCCCTGCAGCTCAGGGGTGACAAACACCAGTAGTTTGTGTGAACGTGTGTGTGTGTGTGTGTGTGTGTGTGTGTGTGTGTGTGTGTGTGTGTGTGTGTGTGTGTGTGTGTGTGTGTGTGTGTGTGTGGTGGGAGCTGAGGTTGAGACCCCTCAAGAGGAGAATGTGAAAAATAGAGTGAGCAGCGGACTGTGTGCCGGAGACAGCCAGGGGGAAAACAAGAGGAGGCACGATACTGAAACGATCAATTGTTCAAAAAATGCATCATAGAAATATAACAAGGAAAAACATGTTCGAGTTAAATATCTTTCAAAAAGGATCTGCATATTGTTCCCTTTCAAAACATACATTTTCACTATTACCAAGCTTTTGCTATTCCCCTTACTTTTTCTAAAGGGTTTTCTAAAAATGGGTTTTATGGCTTCGGGTGTGCCTGCTGTTGTCCCCCGAGGAAACACTGAATCCACTTAAAGGAGTCTAGTCGGTGTAACAGGGCACGTTGTCCATTTTCTGGAGGCTTTAACCTACACAACACAGGTGCTATGCCCTTCTGTAATTCTAACTCATAAACACTGAAGTACGATGAGCCGGTACAATTTTAAGGACTTGGAATAACATGCAAAGTTCTGCTTGGTCATCCCAAAAGATAATGGGAAATTCTTCTTTAGATTTGCATTTTAAATTGCAGTGCATAGCACCAAATCAACATTTATAGAAAGCAGGTTTCCAGAATAAATGTAGTAGGGAAGGAGTATTTTCCATAACTGGAAGCGTCTAGATGTTACAGAAAGGTTAGTTAGCAACACCGTCCTTCATATAGGTGGAGATCAGCAGAATGGAACAACAAATAGGGATTTTACCAGAGAGAGGTAAAACCAGGAGTGCCAAATATCGAGTCAGCTGGAACCACACATGCAGCCACAGAAGGCAATACAAAGAGGCACACACACAGATCCCCTGACATCACCCCTGACAACGCCGATGGCCAGAGAAATCCCAGGCGTGTTGAATCAATGGCTAAAGAATGCAGTCATATGGGCGTTTCCCCTACCTACGGGGGCAGAGTGTGACTCAGCTATTTGCTAATTTACCACAAAGTTACAAAATCTATGACCCAAGCATGAGCCGTGGCTAACCACTCTCCTGCTGGAAGCCCATTGTGAAAGCAAAGACGTCTCCCCCAGTTCTAGCTTCAGTTTGACACCATGAGTGGTCAGGTGATGTCATCCCTGACGCCAGATGGAAATCAGTGGAATTACAGATCCTCCCAGGGGGTAGTTTCTCTTTCAGTTTGAAAGTAGTGATCAAAAACTCAACTTTAAAAGGAACTTCTACTTTGAATTGAAACATTGTCTTTGCCGCTATCGACACAGACTTCATCAAACCGTTAAGACATCTGCATCGCCCTAAAATCTTCCTCGAAAGGGGTGTCCTTTATCTTCCAAGGGAGCAACATGCACAGCTGGAGTGAATCTTCAACTCTGTGCAGGGAGGAGTAACGGGTGACTTGAACACTGTTGTCAAAGGACACACAAAGCCTCCAAAGACAGCTTGGTCAAAGGTAACGGAAATGCACCTCTGTGAAAACGTTTTATTTGTGACTGTCCTGTCCTGGGTTCATATCAGACCAAGCCTGCCTCACTGTTAATGATTGGCAGAGGAAAGCAGACCTGCTAACTGAAGACACAGACTTTTAGCTTCTCTCTCTCACACACTCACGGAAAACAGGTAGCTCTAAACCGCCCACCCCCGCTCCTGTAAAAACACTCGCTGGCACAACCGGAAGGGAATTATCCTCCATCTTCCATCTTGTGGCCAAACATTTAGCACCAAAAAAAAAAAGCAGCCTGGTACAAAGTGCAGCGCGCCTCGGCTGGTGGCAGAGAACGCCACGCTCCTCACAGCCTCCTCTAACCAAATAAATAGCAGCTGTGCTGGGCAGACCAGACGCTGGAACACCTTCGGTCACCGTGGGCAACGAGCTGGGCGCAGGGCAGGGAGTCACATCAGAGCTGGCTTAATACGCGGGCGCTGAAAGGACGCGATGAGGAGGAAACTATCGGACATACACAAACACTAAAAAAGGAGGCAGACACCTACTCTGTCACACAACCACAGTGCGCCAGATGCTGACACATTTCTTTCTGCATAAACAGATCTGAAGTGTACAACTGCCTAACAATTAAAAATGTTCAGCCCAAAATGCAGCTTCAAGACCCCCACCACCAGGAGAATGGAGTACGGAAAAACAGACCAGGCCTATTAATGATCCACACATACGTGAGGAGATGAATAGCTAAATGAATCATTGATAGTGATGCCGTCGCCTGCCCAAAACCACTTGTTGCCAGAAGGGCTCATAAAGAGAAGGCCTTTGTGCAGACAGAGAGGAGAGATGAGGACACGGCCGATGGAGATCACAATCAATCGTCTTACACATTTCCTTCACACATTTTCTCTACTTTCTGTCGAGGTTTTATCTATTTGTATTCGGAACACACAAATGAACTTGCCTCTTTGGCCGTGTCATGAGCTTTCTATTGCACAGTAAAAACCGTCAAAACAAATTGCATTTGCCCCATAAAGTGCAGTGTAAATGAAGGGGAAAAAACATCATATTCAACCACAACGAGGTCACGCAGCGTTCCACTTTTTTGTGCAATTTAAATATCAGACAAAAGTTAATAATCCAAAGGCAATGGCACTTACAGGAACAGATCAACCCATTAAAAAGGTGAGCAGTTCAAAGCTTCCGGCCGCCCCTGGTCAAATACTCAGCTCACAGACGGGCTCTGATTGCCGTGTCATCTTAAAGTCACTGACCTATTTCACCCCAAAGTCCCCACAATCTTTGCGTAGCAGTTCTCTTTAGGATTTTCGAGGAGCACTATGCAGTATGCCTGCGTTTTGGGGTTATTTATAGCCGGCCACCTCCAGCCTGGGAAATTAACAGTTCGTTTTGAAACCCTAGAGCCCCGCCTGGACCAAGAGGATAATCTTACACGACAGCTTGCGGAGGGTGCAAGTACAGAGCAGCGAGAGGGGTGATGGGAGGGGAGCGGCTGAGGGCTACTTTTACTATATGCCCCACATAGAACCACAGGAGGGAGCGGTCCACCTTCGAAACTGAATAAATATGTACTGAAATCAATAATGAAAATGCTTTTTTTTCTCTTAGGTGATTCAGCTGCAGAGCTAGGATCACTGCGTTAAAAAAAAAAAATAGTCAGTCAGTCTTTGCTAAACAGACGATGCAAGAAGCAGGGTACGCAAATGTGCATTCTGCCCTCCATTACAAGAAAGAAAGAATCCATACTGGCAGAGCCACAAGCCCACTGCAGAGTTAATAGATTTCTAATGGAGCAACGATGGTAAGGAGACCCTCTCTAGGGAGGTATCACGGTCAAATACTGAGACTCCAAGACCCCCCACCGAGCTCTCCGATGAAGTCCCAGAAGTAGAAAACTTTCAGAATCCACCTAAATACTGTTTAAAAAACACGCAAGAGCATATCCTATGCCATTTGTAGGTCTCAAACAGACATTTACCAATATGTCTCAGCCATTCACCCAATTAAAAACTGTATTAAAAGTTGGCATTTGTAAAATCGCCGGCATATGGACGAGTCTCACTTATTTTGTCTGAGAAGCTGGGCACCACCCAGCTACAGCTGTTCAGAAAAAAGGGAGATTAGCATCACACCTCTAACACTGGACCTCCTCCAGCTCTTGCCTTTTCTCCAGGACAACCACCACTGATCTGACGTCAAATGCACACGAGTAGGTCACGTCCTCCCATCCAGTGTGATCATGGAAACACAGGGGTGCACATGTTACTCATAGGCTTTGGGATGTTGTGGTGGATAAAAAAAAGAGGGGAGGCAGACCAATAAGCCACATATAAAAAACGCACAATAGTTGCTTTTCTTTGTGCGAAGGTACTAACTGAAAAATTGGTGAGCCGGGACCAAAGACCTACGTCAGCACGGGATGGGGGATTTGTATCCCCACTAGTCTAACGAGACCGCGCGGCCACGTTTTAAGTGATGGAAACGTAAGAACCGTCTTTGCCACCTTTTACCCTCACAGTCAACTAAAGCAGTTTTTTTAAAAGCAGCGGGTCTAAACGAGCGGCGCAGTCCGCTTTATAAATGCCTCGAAATGGAATCCAACTTCCGCAGTGATCCGTTGAGCTGTTGCTCCGTGCGACGGGGCGTCACCCTAACGTACTTGTTTCTGCGGCCACTACGGGCTGCAGCGTCGCCCTCTACATTGTCTTCACCCGACGGTCGAAAAAGGGCGAAACACAGAAAGACAACAACAACAACAACAACGCAGGAAACACACACTCTATCACGTTTACGCTTGACTGCCGCTCGGTAGAGATGATGGGGACATTTATTGAACTGGGGTTTTTTTGGTCTCCATAACCAAGGTAACGTTACAGCACCCGAACTCACGGGAGACCGCTAGTATCGAAACGGGGACCAACCGGGACGCGAGACAACGGTGCATAACGTATTGCGACATGAATCGTATCGCGTTACATGTGGCCGAGAGTTGACCGCTGCCACGAGCTGTAACAGAGCTCGGCAGATAAACGCCGGCTGAGGGCGAATCAAAACGCGGGGATAGCTAATGTTAGCTAACTGTGGACCGCAATATCCAGCGCCCCCCCCCCCCCCAAAAAAAGAAATATGAAAACATTTTAAAGCGGTATCATCAGACAAAACAGTCACTGCCAACGCATTTCGTACATGGGAACGTGCAGTGCTTACTTACAACAAGCAGAGGTCTAATTAGCTGCCAGAGGAACGTTTCGTCTGCCGGAGAAGAAGAAGAAGGAAAAAAATCGTCCAACTCTGTTGCCTCTGCGCTGTAATCAGAAGGACACAGGATGTGCGTTTTGGGGGGAGGGGGTCCGCTTTCCACCGTCTTCGGATATCTACACCTTTTAGTATATCCGATAAAGTGTTTTTTCAACAGCTACAGTGCACGGAGGCTTTCATTGGTTCTGGGTAAAAAACGAGCCCGCGTTGAACAATGTGCTTCCACAGAGTGGAGGGGATGAGGAGGGTCGAGCCCACGCCCAGCTCTACCAAACATAGAACCGCCCCGGTTACCATGCATGTTGCTGATGCATTCACAGACAGTCGGAAATGCGACCACTCCGCGACAACGGCCAGCTGACCTATTGACGTTAATCCAATTTAACAAAGTGACGGTTTTAAGGAAGAGACAAGCAAACACTTCAAATGCCACAAAAAAAGGTGGCGTCATTAGTCCAAATTCGCAATCACAAACACACCCCGCTGGGAAAACAAACCACCAAACAAACAACATTTTCTTGAAATAGTTTTACATTTCACCAATCGCTAATTTTCACTCTAATGTGGCTTGTCTTCGCCATGATTGCCGCATAAAGTAAGTGTTTCATGTAGATCAACAGCCATGAAGAATGTAACAACGTTGATTCAAATAAATCTTTAAAATGATTATAATTACAATTTTGATGGCTTACATTTCGAAAAGCAGAGCTCGCATTTGACGGTTTGAATGTAGCACGACACCAGGGAGGGCGGCTTAAGTTTATTGTTGCAGAAACATACACCGAGGATGAAAATGTCCTCTTTGATCGTAGTAGCAGTTATAGACTTGAATAAACGTATAGAAATATATAGGACATCCATTAGCGAAGCGTTTGCTTCAAGAGTTTCACTTTCACACGTGGACTACATATCCCAGGGTGCCACTCACTGCGGTATCCAGGAAGTCTGCTGTGGTTGCCAAGCAAACTTCTGCTCGAAAGCGAATTGCTCTCTCTGTGAAAAGTGCAGATGCTTTTGGTCAGGTTTTTTGGATACTACTGCTTTGTATTACAATGAAAAATAATAATAAAAATACCCTTAATTGTCGTTGGAAGGTCTAGTTTAGAGGAAATCAACATTAATTTCCTCTAAACTCCTCTAAACATTAATTTCCCTCCCGCATTATGGCAACAATTAACAACAGCAGTTCTGAATCGTTCGTTAGCTAATCTAACGGTAGTTAGAGAATCCAGTTTCTGTGTTAGTATCACCTCGGTTAGAAAGTTATTCACGTGGGTTGGTAAGTCACTGATACTTATATTTTTTCATTTCAGGCATCAGTGAGAAATGAGTTGCTGCCATGTGTCTGTGCCCCGGGAGGTCCGGCCCGGCACGGCACGGGTCCTGGTGCCTGAGCCGAGTGGATCGGGCCACATCAACCTGACTCCTGCTCCGAAACCACGAGAGGACTATGAAACTGCAACGGGGCTTTACCTCTCTAAGGAGAAGTTGGTAAATTAATTCAATTAGTGCCCTCTGTCATGGCAGATGAGGTGCTCTATGAACAGTAACTAGAGAAAAGGCAGCAGATACTGTGCAGATGGCTGTTTTGAGGTGGGGAGGGGGGCAGACAGGTGTGTTTCCAATGTATGCGAGTGATGATTATGATAAACTATGTTGCATAAAGATAAAATCCAGAATAATGCAGGCTGTTGATATCCGTCTCTGGTAGGAATCAGTGTGTGGAACTCGGGATCTCTCTAAAGTGACCTCGCTGGAGATCCGCGTAGACACACAAGAAAACACACTGGGTAACTTTGGTAAGCTATATTTATTTTATTTGTTAATTTGATACGGTGCAGTTCACATTATTAAAATGATAAAAGTCAGAATCTTCCCTTATACATTGTCAGGCAGTCACAAGAGGTGTAACACTGAGGCCCTCAAAGTCCACGCACACACAAAGCAAATAAAATGACTGATGACTACAGCATCCCTACGCATCTACGAATGTTAAATGTGCGAGTACTCGTTCGATTGCATTGTTGACATTTAGACATTAGATTATTTTAATGACCACAATAACAATCATGGAGCAGGACTTGGAAATAAAGACATTGTTGTGACACACACAACGTATCAGCACTAGACTCCCTCACAGGTGTGCCAACCTCAGTGCAGGATGACTGAGCAGATGATGGTGAAGGAACACTTCATTAGGCTCACCTTCCTCTTCAGAAACTTCAAGATTGCACAACGAGTACAGGCATGACGGAGAAGGGTCCGTGCATGTGTGAGTCATGCTTAGGTGCTCTTCCTTATAGCTAATTGCAGTGGAATGGAGTGCAGTGGAATTCAGAGCAGGAGGTTGCTCTGAAACCCAATAAATAATCCCCCCACTGTTACATGACGGTGAGAGTAATGGCCTTTTTTATCTGATCATCTTGCAGGTGACTACTTGCCCAGGCTATTGAAGCTCAAAATGAACAACAGCAACATAATGTCAGTGAGGTAAGTCTAAAGTTACAAAACGCAGAAACCATCTTCTTGTGTTCTTCCTGCTTTGTATTCCGGAAAAGCAACCTATTCCTTGGGAAACACGCACAATCACACTTGTATTATGTTGACATAACCTCATGCAACGCTATAGATTCTCAAGAAGCCGCTAATCCCAAAACCAAAGATAAAATGCACCATCAAACAAAACTGAATAAGTTCCCCTGATGGTGAACCACTTCATGTTAAGCTTGTATTTATAAGTACAGTATGTGGATTATAAGAAACTCTTTATTGAGAAGTCTTGGAGGCCAAAAAAAGACTCTTCTGCTTTGAAGCTGAATACAAGGTCAGAAGTTACAGGGGTTTGTACTTGTTAGGAAAAAAAAAGTGTACGATGCGCTGGGTGCAGGTGTAGGGCTCAGCTCTGCTTTATCCACTGTTTTCTAATGGGTACTTGCAATACCATTTTTCTGTATGGAAGTTACATGTTACTTTTTGTTACTTCTTGTGGTGTAATGTAAAGTCTTACAGCTCAATACACATGGAGAATAGGTTCCCCCACTTGTCTCACAATAGAACAGAGGGGTTTGTGGCATATCAGCTTGCCCACATGGACAACGTCCGGATAAAAGTCAGGAAACAGACAGTTTCTCCACTTTCATTGTAGCCATGACTGTCTCATCCAAATAATCCACCAAGACCAAACACTCACACCTTCCAAGTGGTCCTCACGTCTCCACAGGTGGAGAATCTTTTGCCCGAGAGACAATTGAGGTATGAGAGACTGAAAGATACGGAGCTTTGTGCTCCACCCTGAGCGCCGCAGAGCAGAGCCAGCTGGACGTGTGCTGCCTCTGATAGCATTTCCTGCTCTGAGCTGTGGCAGCTGTAGGGGAGAGGATGTTATGGGATTTTTATGCGCTGACTGAGACTCTACTGGAAGGGTCAAAGCACTGGTGTGTCACAGAGACAAGCGATAGGCAACGGAGCGATCTGCTCGTTGGAGAAGCGGAGCGGATAGCCTTTTCCATGATTCCCTGTGTCGTGTAACTCCCTTCCTGCCTCTAAATCAAGTGGGCGCTTTCCTTTGTGTTCTTAGAGACCTGGGAACCACCCTCTCCCACCTGCAGGTGCTGTGGATGTCTCGCTGCTCCCTACAAGACCTCACTGGCATTTGTGCTTTCACTTCCCTCAAGGTAGTGTTTGTTGGTTACTGGTGCATAACCGCCTCGCTTTCCTCACTTCCTTGTTCCTATAAGAGTGTGTATAAAGACTGTAAGAAAAAAAGAATACGCTGTATGTACTTCTCTCTGATGCAGGAGTTGTACGTGGCCTATAACAATGTGTCGGACCTGAGTCAGCTGGGCATGCTCGAGAACCTGCAGCTGTTGGATCTGGAAGGGAATAATGTGGATGACATTGTCCAGATTCAGTATCTGGGGCTATGTGGCAAACTTCAGACACTGTCCCTGGAAGGAAACCCTGTGTGTGCGCACCCAAACCCCACTGCCATCCAGGTAGGAGTATGCTCTGATCATTTTGTTTCTACCTTAAAACAACATCTTACTACATGTGTAGCCGCCAGCAAAAATAGTTGGCAATAGTTTCATGGTCCTTGTTTGCACTTTTTACAGAACCAAAAATGTAAAACGTCTAGTTTCAAGTTAGTTTTCTCTTCTGTGCTAGTAGACTAGCAGCCTTCATGGCTTTGTTAGATGATTACTGAAATCTAATCTGCATGTGCTGAGATGTTACAGAGCTATTTGATCCCTTTGAAAGCCAATGCATTTTACTTGATGGGAGGAGCAGCACACCATGGACCTCTTCAGTGCTGCACGATGCAGCTGCATATTCAAAGTAGAAGCTGCATTTTCCACCTTTTGCTGATTTGAGACACAGTGTGCTGTGAGTTTTTTTGGGCCACTGTGAATGTGTTTATTTACACCCACTAGCAGAGCATTAATTAGGAAACTGGGGCAATGAGGGTAGATGCTGAGCTGAATATGCATGAGGCCTGTGCTTTGTAGTGACTGAGGGGTTCTTGGGTTTGCGTTCTTGCCAAACCATCACTCCTCTTGCTCCCTTTTCTTTCCACCAAACACAAAGATCTCCTCACTTCCTCCCGCCCAACACTTTCTCCTCCTCCTACTTTCTTTTTTTCATTTCCACCTTGCCAGCCCTTCACTCTCGCTTTCATTCCCTGCGTCAGTGTGGTTTAGCGATGGACGGGGGGGCATATAGCACTAGTTTGAACACTTAGTACCTCAGTGACAAGCAGGACTCTCTCTCTCTCTCTCTCTCTCTCTCTCAAAGTAAAGTTCCACAATTTCATTAAAGTGCCATGATGGTGAAAATGGGTGCAAAAACATATAACAAAGGTTATCAAATATGCATTACCACAATTTGATGCTAGCAACTATTTATAACTGTCTGACGTTTGGGCTGCTAGTGTATAACTTTTTTTTATCATTAACAAAAACAACAAATCCAGCTAATTCAGCAGGCCGATGGAACTCATTCCATTGAAAGAAAACAGTGGGAACAGCATCTCTCTTTAACAATTAAAAATTCCTTTATATGAGTTCATATCTTCATTGTAATTACAGTGTTTTAAATGTGATTTACTGTGTGGACTGTAAGATGTTTAATGTTTGGTTTGATGCTTCACATTATGCATGAGACCCCTAATGCTGCCACAAGTTTCAGTTTCACATCTATACATGTTGTACTTTTAAACCATTAGTATCTGAAACTATTTCACTTTGTTTTGTTTATGAATATTAACACATTACATAGATAGATAGATCGATAGATTCGACTAATCCCAATCATGTTTTGTCCCCCTCTACGTTCCCCTACGTTGCTTCCACCCCTCCACCCAGACGGCAGGCTATAGTTATCGGGCCGCAGTGAGGAAGTTGGTCCCTCAGCTGCGTTACCTAAACGATCTAAGGGTGGAGGAGGACGGCCTGAGCTCCCACAGCACCATGGGAGAGGACTGGGCCATTCTCCGAGACTGCATCAGAGACGGCAGCTCCTCCCAGGCAGCTGCTGAATACGGTGTGTATATGGCCATGGCGTTTCGAGTGATTTGACACGGACCAGTTCATTACAGCTGTGTATTTTAGTGGCCTCTCCCTCTTGAATTTGCAGAGGACACAGCAGACCGTGGATATCCTTACAGCCGCCCGGCCAAGGCCAGGCGCCCCGCACACAACGTTCGCTCCGGACCCAAGACAGCCACCAGGCCTGGAGTTCTCTCTGGTTCCAGACCTGGTTCTGCAGATTCAGATCTGGCGACAGTGGAAGCAGAAGCCAGCGTCCTTACACATGGTCAGGGGGCTGCCTTTCAAACTGATGTCTCAAACTGTCATCCTAGTTCCTCGTTCCTCTCATGAGCTTTACCTTTTGCAGATACATTCTGTAATCTTTACTCAATAGTGCCACCAAGAGGCTGCCCTTTGTATCGGATTGTATGAAATTCTTCTCTTATCTGTTGCTTTTTCGAAGGGGCTGGCAAGATTCTCTTCTGCGGAAACCCGGTCCAGGCGGTTCGGGCCAGGCGTGAAAAGCTGAGGGTAGGTCATGTGTTGGAAAACCAAAACACAGGAAACACAGATCTGTATTAATGAGATATCAAACTAATCAATCACTTCATGCTCGCTGTTTCCCATTCAGCACAGCATCTAGAGGCACAAGAAGCATTGTGGGCCCGGTCGGGCCATTATGGCCAAATGACTCCATAGGCTCATCTGTCATCTTGTTAGAAGAAGCTAATTATCTGCAGGTGGACATAAACCTGAGAGGAGAGACACGGGGGATGGGGATGTGTTAAGGCTCTAGAAGTGTCTTGACGGATGGACGGATGGAGCTCTCGCTCTCGACATCATCTGGTGTCACTCTGCCTTCCTCTTACCTCCTCTCCCCGTTCCGTCTGCCCCTCTCGTGTTTGCTCTCCCTCACTATCTGACCATTACTCTTACATCTATCCATAATGAATGTACTCAGCTCTTAAGCCTCTATTTTGCTTCTTTTTCTTTTCTAGTTCCCTCTTCTGCCCCTCATTCTCTTCCTCCCTCTCTTTGGTCTCTTAGACGGCACCTACCAGATCTACTTTCACCCTCCGTGACCTTCCCATCCACGTACCTGAGCACACAAACGACCTTGAGGAGACCGATGTCAGAGAACGCATCGATGTCTTTGCCGAGCTTAGAGCTTGGAGGGAGCAGCATGGCAGGTACTGACATTCTTCTTTAACTGGAAATAGGCTGGCTTGTGATGATACGTTATGAAGTCAGCTTCATGGACAGCATTTGAAATGTGATCCGAGAGTCGGTATGAAAAGGGTTCTAAATATCTATTGAGAATTGTATCTGTGTTTCACTCTACGCTTTGAGCCAAACAGGCTTCTTTTGCAGACCATAGGGAGATGAAACTCAACACCTTTCTGCATTGTTTTCCAGGCGTCTCCAGGCCATAAAGACAGAAAGATTACCACAGGTCCTGGCTATTTGTTACAGTGATGAAGAAAAGGGGGGAGATGACAACAAAAGAAAACATGAAGCGGAGATGCACAGAGACAGACGAGACGCTGCCTCACCAGATTCCCCTTCGCAGTTTCTTTCCCCAGGTAAATACCCACTGAACGAACCTGAAATTGAAAGAAAGTGAAAATCTTATTGACCATCTGGCCATAAAGCTTTGGAAATCTTTTTTTTGTTTTGTTTTCAGGCCTGCATCCCAGAGAAGCCTTCTCCTCAGAGGCGGCTGGACCCTCCCTGTCACCTGGCACCACGCTGTCCCCCTCTCCCCCTCCCAGTGGAGACAGGAAGCCGACTGGGCTCCGTGCACGCCGGCTTCGACTCAGCCAAACCAACTCAGAACATACTGATTTCAGCAGAGCAGGGCGCTGCCCGGGGGCAGAGACGACGCCTGGAGACACACACCCGAAACTCCAGGGGATCCAGCAGTTGACAAAGACAAACAAGCCTCTTTCGCTCCAGCCTGCATACACACCCCGCCCACCTCCAACAAGGGCCCCCGGTCAAAGGCTCATGGGTTCATGGTACGGCTTTATCAAAGGTTATCTTTTGTGCACCATATACAGAATAAAAACCATAGATTCATCTTTATTTGTTTAAAGTAACAGCTAATTATAATTCATCAGTAAATGTTTGACAAACAGCATCATGTTTTTTTTATTGTTATGTTATTTCATAATTTCGTGATTCGAATTAGGTACTCAATCTGTAATAGTTTTATTTGAAACATAAAATGTGATGCTAAAAGAAAGTTCTTTGTCTTTCAGTGCAGAGATGGACTCATCCAGTAAACAAGCTGGCAGAGAGCGTTTTTAAGATCACGCAAATGTCCAAACTTCTGGACCGACCAGCGATCACTCGTCCTCACACATTCTGGGCCGCTCTACAGAAACACCACCAGCACCTCACAAACCAGCCCTGCAGAGGGAGCCCACACTCAGACTGACAACCTGGGGGTGCAGGGGCACAGACTGTCTGGCTAAGGATCCATACAATTAGTGTGACATTCCTTCAAGAACAAGAGTGACAGCATGAAGGTCAACACAAGCGTTCCTCTTACCTCACGTGCTTCGTGCTGATGTTGTCCCTCTAACTTGACTGAGTTGCTGGTTTACTGGTGGCTCCTTTAGCTATAGATGAAAAATAAAGAAGATGTGACTAATACCATCATATTTGAATTGCTCCGGTCAAAACATTGAATTGACTTAAATGCTACATTTTGTTTTTCCCAATGAAAAAAAAGCTGTGAGGTGGATTACAGGAAAAGGATCAGTGATTGTCTTGTCAGTCATGGTGTAATAGGCGCGCATTGCCACTTGAAGGCGCTCCATGTATACATTAAATCAAAAACTCATTCTATTGTTTCAACTACCTTGGTCAAACAATCCTAGAACTCCACCACCTTGAAACAAAAGAGTCTGCTTGTGCACATCTAAGGCCGCATTTACACATACACCCAATCGCTGAGAATGCCTTCCACACTGCTAATACAGCAGAAACTGTTTCATGATGGATTGATACACAGCATGAGTAATAGAGTCGAACCAATCGGGTGCATTTTGAGTTTATATGTTCTAACTGTGACACACTGTAAGCTCCGGTGTGTTAGCCATTCATTGCACCATGAACGACTCTCGCAGACTGATTTTGTCCTGATGCCCACTTATGATGAGGACCAGAGAGGCAGCCACATCTAATACCTGAGTGAATACCTGTTCTCGACGGACATATATTATTGAGGTCTCATATTTATGTAGGACTGTCCTCAACATGGACGTTGACAAAGCACTTCCCATTCTTCTGTCGGCCGTGCTTCAGTTGTACAGAAACAATGCACAGACAGTAGTTCAACCTTGAGGGCACAGCTAACGCTCCTCACAACACTGACGGAATGGAAGAGTTTCACTTGTCAGGCCCAGGAATGTATGATTTGTGTGCACATCCATTCAACAGCTCTTACGTAACATGTTAGCACATTTTTTATCTTCTTTCCATCCTTCATTTTTGGCATTACTTACCTGGCAGGTGTTTTCAGCAACACCCTTGTCTCTCTAGTGCCATTAGGGCTCAGGACAGATGAGAGGGGAATGAAAGGAGAGGCCTTTTACTGTGAGAAAGTGGGAGAGGGTCCGCCTCATGTAATTTCTCTCAAAGGGATCATTCTCACAGCTGGTTGCTACCGGTGGACCTGATCTGCACAGATGATTTGATTAAAAAAAGAAAGCTTTTTACCTCCTAACATTCAAACAACAAAAACATTCACAACAACACAACTGTGTAACCAAAGTGGAATTTGATTCATATTTTCATAAGCAGCCTCCTTCTTGTCATGACATGAGACTTGTTACTTGTCCAAGCAAGTGCTGAAACTGGAAATACCTACAGAATGCGTTCAGGCAGGCCGGGACAATCTGTCTCTGCAGTACGTACGAAGATATTTATTCCTCGTTTCCCTGTTGGCACTTTTACAACCACGCGCAGGAATGACGACTGTAATGGTACAAACGCATAAAGTAAAAGACAACTGCTAATTTATATTTACAGTTTTCTCAATTGCATCTATTGCTTGTGACAAAGCAGGTCTGTTTTCTGAGAGAATACATTTAAAGAAAGATTAGTTGCCTTCGGAGGGGTTAGAGAAGGTGTGCTGGGAAGCACAAGGTTGGTGGTTCGATTCCAGGCTGCCCCATGTTCCATGTCGAAGTGTCCCTGAGCAAGACACCTAACCCCTAATTGCTCCCCAGGCAAAAATGTGAAAAAGCCATGGGTTTAAAGTGTAATGTAAGTCGCTTTGGATAAAAGCGTCTGGTAAATGACCTGTAATGTAATGTAATGTAATGCAATACTATGAGCAGCAAGAGAACAAATAATGTGAGACTAGAAGAGAAACCTGTGTTCTGACCTCATAATATTGCATCACATCAAGCTTGTATTCCGGTAACTGGGAGTTATTTAAAGAAAATAGACTAGAGATTAATAATGTGTTTATTGATTTGTTCCAGAGGAAGAAACCCATGAACAGATGTTGTAATTTCCCTTTTTTCACCTCAAACAACACTGTTGTAGAGCAGCGATTGTAATTTGTGGGATGACTGTAACATATGTTTCAGTTTTATGAGGAGACTGTTGCTTTTGTATGTTTAATTAACATGATCAGGTAAGGAATATTTGGCCCATAAAGATGCAAGTGAAACGTTTGAGGTAGCATTCCAGTAGAGGAATATGTGACATCATCCTTTAATGCCAGGGATCATTGTATGTGTCATTTAGCCTTCCAGCACTAAATTCTAGACATGTTTGGGCCGACACACGTTCAATTAAAAAAAGAGTACAAAACAAAGAAGCCCATGGTTAACTTGACTTCAGTGAGACGTGGATGGTTCCTCTTACTTTTTTAATGAAAATACCTGGTGTATTACCAATTAATGGTGTTATGTGTTATGTGAAAAGATTATTGCAGGAATTACAACCTTCCGCTTTTAAAACTTCCTCCTCATTTTAGATGACAAACATGCGGTGACCTGTTGCATATTTTAAAGGGAACTCTATGTAATGCAGCTTCCTTATATTCCCCCTATCTCAGATACTATCAGATTTAGTTCAGTAACTTCAAAATGTTCTCTCTTAGTAACATATCCGCTACATAATCCAACAATGTAGCCCATCTGTAATATAAAAGCTTTGTTTTATAATTTGAAATCAGATTACATCTACTATTGTCAGTGTCTGGGCCTTCCTCAAGCTATGTGTGTTGTTAGGGTTTTGGAAAGCTCTCGAGGGAGGACTCACTCCTTTGTTCTCGTCCCGGCCGAAAAAGAAGAATCAAAAGAGTCAGCTTGCTTCAATTCAAAAATCAAAAAGTATTTAATAACTAAACAACGTTATAAGGGATACAATTACAAAGTGAAATACAAAGCGAACAGTAAAATATTTAGCGAAATAGAGAATCCTCTGAGCAAGTCTAAAGCGACTTATCAAAGCGGCTGCAGGAAAATTCTAACAGTCCTTTCACTGCTTTGGTCCTTTGAAAACTCTTGAGGTGTGTCTTCTTTGGTGCATTTGAATGTCATTGGCTTCTTATTCAGAGTGTCCCCTCCTGGACTGTCCCCTTCACGTCGAGGTGTGAAGCTGCAGCTGTAACCTGAAACCTCTCTGTACTATCTGTCCCTCACATTCCAATGCACTCAATGTAGATACAGTTGGCTTTGAGCCTTAATGAGTGAATATAACAAAGCATGCATAGTTTGTCTTCATCTTTTAACTAGTACACCTTAATTACAACAACCCATCATTAATGATCCCCGTTCATCACACTTCATCATAAGATCTAAGACAGTTCATGTGGTCCAATTCTCAAGACATTTGCCTCAGTCGGCTGCCTTACATTAAGTTGTTCATTTACTACCTGACAGGAGAAAAAACCAAGAAATCGCTTTCATAGCTTTTGTTTTGGTTTTGTTGGGTAAGGATCTAGTTCCATAGTCGTCACCAGTTACCGTTTAAAAAGCTGTCGCCCCAAAACTATCAGTAATCTGTAGTTTGTTTTTAATAGGTACTTACATAAGCACACAGCAATACCATGACTACAACAGTGTTGCCAATGAACTAAGACATAAAGAGAAATTTTCCACATAATAATATTTTGGTTCAATGCCCTTAATTTGAAACTAGTGACCGGAAATGCTTTAATGTCCATTTCCTGTTTGGAGTGACAGCTTTTTTTTCTGAAGAGGACCAGAGGATGAAGCACTCGGTCATCCGCCGAGGTTGACGACTGAATCACTGGTAAGTTTATGTTTTACGTTGTATTTAATTTTCTGCCAGACTTTAGTGACATTGAATTGTTTTTATTTAATTTTTTTATCTTGGTAACGGAAGCAACGAGTCCTCGCGAGCGCTGCACCTGCAGTTTGGCGAACAATAAACCGGCTTCACGTCCCCAAACTTGTAACGCCCGCGTTTAGTCGACGAATCTGCTGTTTGTGCTTTTATTCGTCCTCGTCGCTTTGCATGTGAGTGTCAATAGCGTCAAAACCGGTCAACTTTAAGGCCAAAATAAGTCAATTCTGTGAACGCTGTACTAGCGTAACTTCTGTCTTCTGTTTTAGTCCACTTTTTACACGCAAATATTAGGCTAGAGTTTAGTTAAACGGTAGTTACAGTGTTACCGAACCACAGAGAAACAACAACAAATAGTCTACTAATTATTATCATCATACGCTTACTTGTAATTTTTACATCGAAGTAGCAAATTAAAGATAGTTTGAACAGTCAAACTGTTGCCAGTTGAAGCACGTTGTATTTTTAAAAATTATTTCTTAATTCTCAACCATTGTTGATTATTATTAATCAACAATGGTTGAGAATTAAGAAAAACATTTTTTTTATTATATTAATAATAATAATATAATAATAATAATTCACTTAATCACACGATCCTCACAATTCAGAAGCACCAGGTGAGATGGGCATTCCTAGTTGATAAATAATTTAAATGGTTAAATGATAATCTGAGATAACATTTATGTTGATCGACATATTGAGTTATTGTTAACTCAATAACTTAACTGGTATATATTGTCCCCTTTTCTTTATCGCACATGCCCTGAATGCACATCTGCAAAATACAAATAGTGGTTTATGAATTCAGACCATCTATCTATTTGTTTACCTTTCATTCTTGCTGTTCTGTCTGGCTGCTTTGTTCATTTTGTGGTCTGACAACATTTACATATTCGTCCCTTAATTTTCTCATATGTCTTTTACATCTATTGTATGTCAATTACATCTATTGTCTCTTGTGTGTACTTCCCCCAGCTCTCCTGCACTCTGTACTTTTTTACACTTTTACTTCCTCGTTATTTTTATCTGATTTTTATCTGATCTCTGTTTCCTTCTCTTTTTTTCCTTTTTCCCACGTCAATGATTTACCTTAATTGAAGAGCTCAGCTTCGTACACGGTGTTTGCGTTCTCTTTATGTCTTGGCTATAAGCATTTCATACATTTTTGTCTTCGTAAGCCAATGTGCTTTTCTGTTAGTATTTGGGCTGTTCCCTGACTAATTATTCTTTGCAGTCATTCTTGACAGATTAGCTCAGATAATGGGACAGTATAGGCTGATATATTATGATGTTGTGTGCTAGTTTTGTTCTTTCCATTTTCTGCTAAATATATGTACTGGTAAATTTGGTCTTGCGGCCTGTATTTGGATTTTCTTTTCTCAGTACTTTAATACTAAGCCCCAATGCAGTGCAGATTCCAAAGGTTGTGAGACTGACTGCCTGAAGTGTCATTTCATGATTAAGTCTAATTTCCAGCTCGCACGCTCCGTCTGCGAGAATATCCGGAAAAAAT